TTGACTGTTAAGGACTGTAAAGCTCGTGGGTTGCGACTGATTTTATGATGACAAGTACAATGCACGCAGATGTAAGTAAAATCATGATGTAGAAAAGGCCCGATCTTCTGATAGGTATGATAGCGTTGATTGGTGGAGACTTGACGTTCATGATCTAGGCTTCGAACCAAGACTGATTCAAACCCCCGCAACCGTTGCACCACTGCTCCATTGGTTATCAACCACGCGAACGCGATTGACCTCGCCGAGAAGGCTTTCCTACAAGCGAATCGAGAACACAAACAAGAACGAGATGAACGCAATCTAAAATTGCAAATAAATATGAAGCTTATGATAATGAGAAGGATTTCAAGTCTTTATTTGAAAAGACTAATCGTCACATGCGAACAAGATCAAGAACAAGGGCCCTGGTTCACAGTAAGCGACCTTGGCAGCATAGTTACATCAAAACGATGTATGTTTCATAAGGAAATCAAGAACTAAACTAAACCTCCAACCCTAAGGAGAGCGACGGCTGCTAATTATAGAGTCTTGGGCGTCACCCCCCTGGACGCGCCCCCTAATGGGCCCAAACTCGATACACGGTCCAACGGACCAAAAGACGGTGTCGCAGCACCCTAGTAGATTCTGGACGTTGAATTGTTTTGACGATTCCTGTTGATTCCGAAGGGCTTTTGATGTGAGACCACTTGCATTGGCTTTCTTATCTAATTAGCTTTCCATCTATATGTGGATCATCGAAAACAGAGCCCGGACACGCCCGTGTGACCAGTTTTATGACAGACTGGTCCTGGAACCCGAGATGGGCTCCAACTTCAGTTGGACTGAGCCTCCACCATGAGAAAGATGAATTGGACGTCCATGCTGAACCTCCTCCTCTCCTTGGTTTGTAGGCGATGAAGTAGTGATGTCATCATCAAATCATCAGCTAGGTGGATATTACCAGTGTAAAGTATTGAGCCGATGAATCTAACGAGAAAGGATATAACATGCGAACAAATCGACTGTCTAGTACAAATGGATTTACGAATGCTCTGAATCTAATCTGTTACTATCAACAATGAGGTTCGACCGGATCGATGGCTGCTATAATAATAATAACAAACTAAAACCGAAGAATCCATAAAACCGTCTATACATTGACAGGTTTTCTGAAAGACATGCTATATATATGAAAACTCAAGTGAATCGGCTGAAATAGCCGATTCAGGTAGAAAATGGATTACAGTATGTGAACAATCGACTATTCAATATGGACAGATCTATGAACTCATCAGACCTAACATGTTATCTTTAATAGTGGGGTTTGACCGGATCGATAGCAGCCATGATAAAGACAACAAATCAACCCTTTAAAGTAAACAAATCTATCCTTATTTAACAAAATCATAGAGACACACTGTAGGCATTAAAGCACAGGCGATCGGCTATTTAGCTGATGCGGGCATAGCAAACAGTCAGGGTCATGCCTAGTCGAAAGCAAATCTACCAACTAGCATCCTCCGATCTAAAGTACTAACAGTGGGTGTCGGCCGGATCGATACATCCATAATAGCGAGCTATGGACCAGATTCTACTAGCCAGTAAATATTCTCAAGATCAAACATGCCTTGACCGTGTACTATACACGACCAAGATCGAAGCAGAATGGCCGATGAAACATAATCCGTCGTTTAAATTAAGAACCGTCGCAATGTAACAAAATAAAAGATGGATTAAAAGGATATGAGGCCGATCTAGATCGATCTCGATTGGGCATGTTGATATTGCTGAAAACTAATGACAATAAGAACATCAGCAAGATCGGTAACTTAATGAATCTACCAAAAGAATGTCACCCTTAGATAAAGCCGATAACTTGACCTTAATCTAATTCGAGCAGTGGAGGTCAAACTTAACCGATGCAGCCGTACTTGAACTAGATAAGAATCGATAACTAGCTTATGCTAGAGCTCACATTAGAGGTCGAACGTAACCGATGCAGCCTTACGAATAGAAGTATAAGCCATGACGGTACTTACAGACAAGCCGGAGGTCGGCCGGACCGATGCAGCCCTACTTGTTGAAGAACTCACCGAGATCTACACTACTCCTACTCCTAAGGGTTGGCGTGAAGTCGAAAAAAGTAATTGGTATTGATTGATTGGATCCTCTTTATAATAGCCGGGGTCCAATATTTATACCCGGAACCTAAGCATGAATCCTACTCAAGTACGACTCATTACAATCTTTGGTATAAGAGAAAACATTTCTAACTTAAGATAATTTGGACCATAATCTTTCTCTTTTTTAGAGTCTGACATGTCTTTTCGACGTCAACCATAGCTCATTGGCGCTAGCTGCTGATGTCATCCAAAGAGAGCCGATCCCAATACCGCATCTAAATCAGCTGATATCGACCTTTACGCAATCGATTCCTTGATGACACAATCTTAGAAGCTTCGAGTTTTCCCGCATTCTTCTTCTTCCAAATTTTGATGTAAACAGAAAGAAAATACATTTTTTTTGGAAGATCAATGGTTTGTTAATTCTAGTCGCGGTATTCAATTTTGGCATTTGTACGTTATTAACCAGCAACATGGTAAGACCATTGATGAGGTTTGGGATGGGGAAACTTTTAAGCTTTCTTTTAGAAGAACTGTGTCTGATAGGTTGATGAACCTTTGGCATGAGCTGTTAGAGATAGTTGAAGATGTTAGTAAGTCCGACGAAGATGATCAGATTATTTGGAGCTTTAGCTCTAATGGTAAATACTCTGTGCAATCTCTCTATGTTGTTATTAACCATAGAGGAGTGACACCTGTGTATGTTCATGTTGTTTGGAACCTGAAGATACCCCCTACTAGAGTTCAGATTTTTCATGTTAACTAAAAACAAACTCCTCACAAGGGACAATTTGGCTAAGAGAACAGAGGTTTTAGACCAATCTTGCTTGAACTGTTGTGAGAAAGAATCTATTATTCATATTTTCTGAGTGTTGTGTTGCCAAACACTTTTGGAGCATTGTCTTAGATCTACTTAATCTTTCGAAGTATGTTAATTTTTAGCTAATTGCTATTAGGTGGCTTGCTGATAAGAAGCATGTTCTTTATAACATCATTAGCTCAGCTGTATTGTGGTGTTTCTGAAAATTTCGTAACTTTATGTGCTTTCAGGGAGTTACATGGACAGGAGAGAGAACGTTGCTGATGTGGATTACCAAGATCCTCGAAAAATGAAAGCCCATGTGGGATCAAGACCTGGGAACGAAGGTGGATTCTTTTATGCGGTCGTTGTAAAACAAAGCCTTGGAGCCACCAAGGATCTCGTGGAACCCAGGAAACTAGTCAACACTGGACTAGCAGGAGACCCTGCACCGAGATCAAGGCTCTTCATCTTTGACTCATCATAAGGATAAAATCATTGTATCTAATGCTCTCGATAGAGTGATTTTAGTCGTTAGGCATCTCTATTTGTGACGGATGTGCCGTTACACTTGAACCTAACTGCGAACGCTTTATGATCAATAAACCGGCGGAAACCTTTTTGTCTAAATAAAAAGAGACCCTTTTCATCTAGAGGCTTTTACTTATGTATCATTATAAAAGTTGGTAATTATCTATAAGACATTAAAAAAAGTTGAGTTCTCATAGGTGCCACTGCTCTAAACTCTTTTGCCCTTGACGCCACTTCCATCAGATTTGGCTCTAATGGCGCTAAACTATGGGTATGAAAAGTCAAAAATATCCTCGAATATGCAATTAATTTTTTTGAGCGTCTTAGCGATCTCAAACGAAAAAACTCAAAACTAAAAGTTGTTGATCTCGTTGAGATCTATAATATTTATAAAAATTATCTTCATTTGATTCCGTAAAAAAATGTGATTAATCTAAGACATTAATCATATCAAATCATATCTTTTTTTTGCAAAATAAATGAAGATAATGTTTATACAAAAATTGTAGATATTGTCGAGATCTTTAACTTTCTAGTTTTGAGTTTTGTTATTTGAGGTCAATAAGATTCTTAAAAAAATTAATTGCATATTTATACCGGAGGGTATTTTTGACTTTTCACAACCGTGGTTTGACACCGTTAGAGCCAAATCTACCGGGTGTGACATGAAGGACAAAAGAGTTCAGAGTAGTGACATCTGTGAGAACTCAACTTTTTTAATGGCTCACGGATATTACTAACTTTTATAATGGCACATAGGTAAAAGCCTCTTTCATCTTTGTCGGCCATGGTTGTACGGCAACCCTCACTTCCTCAGCAGCCAAAAACCCCCGCAGGGCATTTATATGGCCATGCAGCCCGCGGCATGAAGGCCCAGCCTGAAACACGGAATTTTGGCCCTGCCTAAGCACGGCACGGCCCGACCTGCTCCGTCCCCGTGCCGACCCGGCCCGAGACACCAGGCCGTGCATGGGCCGCTTCTCCAGCACGACGGGCGGCACGGCCCGGCCCATAAAAATAGCGCCGGTCCGACAGTTGCGGCCATCAACTCCTCACTCCTCTCCACTTTTCCTGTCGCAACCCGCCGCATATTCGACTCCTCTCCCCGTCGCGCCACGAAACTCCTTGACCTCGATTCCTCCTCTCCCCGTTGCATGCGACTGCTCGACGCGGCCGGCAGCTCCCTCCACGCGACCAGCAACCCCCTCGGCCCCTGAACCCCGCGCGGGCGCGGCGCGGCCACGATTCTCCACCGCCTGCATGGCCGGCGGCCTCCTCAACTCCACGCGGCAGCACCTCTCCACTGCGTCCGCAGACGGCGTGGCGGCGCCCCCTCGAAACCGTCCTCTCATCCCTAGTTCCCCTGCTAAAGTGGGCCACAGGCTGGCCCAGCCTGCTATATTTGTCGTGCTTTTTGGACCGGCCGACACAAAAAGCGGCCCGGCAGGCCGTGCCTGGGCCGGCGGCCAGCCACGACGCCCGAATCGGCACGGGCAGCCCGTTGGCCATCTATAGCAGGGCAGCAGCAAAGCATTTCCATTCCTCTATGCCGCCGATTCCACGCGATGGTGAAGGAGCTCCGCCGCATCGACAACGAGGAACGGCGCCGGAGCTGCTTCCGGAAGCGCCGCCCCACCCTCTTCACTATGGCCCGCGACATCTCCGAGGAATTCGGTGCCCACGTCGCCGTCGTGGCCTTCTCCCCCACCGGCGAGGCCCACGCTTTTGGCGGGCCCACCGTGGACTCCGTCCTCCGCACCCACCTCCCTGCCGATGGGGCGCCTCCTCACCCACCATTCCCTTCCCTCGACGCCGCCGCCGAGACGGCGGGCCAGGCCGCCGCCCGCGTGGCCGGGATGAGGCGGGACGGGGAGGAGACCAAGGCGCTGGTCGCCAAGGAGTGGGCGCGGGTGGCCGCCACCAGGGAGAAGGTTAAGGCCGCGCAAGCGACCGCGCAGAAGAAGAACTGGTGGGAGGTGGACGCGGAGGCCCTCGGGGAGGAGGAGCTGCCGGTGTTTATCAGGGCGCTCGAGTTGCTCAAGTCCGATGTCAAAGGCCGAGTCGACGTGGTGACATCAGCCCGGCTGCCCCTGCCGTGCAGGGAGAAGCAGCAGCAGTAGATGGTAGGGTAGTGTTTACCAGGTTAATCCTCACTTGTCTAATCAAGTGATCAGGTTAGTACTTTCACTAATGGCTACTGCTAACTACTCCGTAGTATTTTGGAAATTGGGTGACCCGTCTGTAGTCACATATGAGATCAATAACTTGGTTGATTGCTTCTAATGCTGCCCAAACCGTAGGGATTCTACTTTGGTGAATTTTGCTGCTACTTTGGGTTACTGCAGTCTTGTCTTTGTTAAATTTGTTAAACCTCGTGGATGAACTAAAATGCATCTCAACACAGAATCGACATGACACATCTCAATGTGTGGATGGATTGCTTGCTGTTATGGTATAATTACTCAAGCTGATTTATTCACTTGGGGGCAAACTGGAAATTGAAAATTAATAGAATTACCTATGTTCTTGATCTATAGAAATCAGAAACCTAATGCAGGTGCTTGTTTATCCATTTTCATCTCTGTAACATTTTACTATTATAGTTCTGCCACACAGCACATTTTCTGTTTTAGCTGTGCCGAAATATTATCATTCCACGATCCACATACAAGTGTCGATAACATGAATCCTCATTGATTCACCTCCAATAATATAAACTCCTACTCTTCATGCTATATTTCTGATAGAAGCTTCATAGTATTTGGTTGATATACATAATGTCAGTTGTTTTTGTCTTGGCCAAGTTTTGCTTTTGTGAAAAGAAAAAGGAAATTTTGTCACGTATCACGTAATTTTGGAATCGGGATCATAGGTTGGCAATTGCTGCCGCTGATCTCATCAGTCATACCTTATTAGATAGAACAATGAAAAAACATAGATTTATAGCAATGTTCTTAAAACGTCTTGCTGTTTCTGAGGTACGTTGTCCTTCATCTCTCTGCAACTTTCTGCATACTACTTATACAGTGAAATGGCATGTCACTATGCTAGATTATCAAGTATCTGAATCCGTTCAATAAAATGCCCTTTGCTGATCCTTTTGATGCCATCATGTCTGCAACTAGATTCCTGAAAAACATTTCTACTCGAATAAAGCCTGCGATGAAGCTCGTACTATATATTAATTCTTATAATTTTGATCGTTAGCCATTTAGTGTCTCAACTAATTTTAAAGAGTCATCAGAATACAGAGGGTTATTCTAGCTTACTAAAAGTCCATGTGCTTTATATGGTCCTTTCCATGTAGAAGAGTTCTGTTGAAAAAAAAACTATTTAAAGCCTCACTGCGTGGAATTTTGACATATAGCTCTGTTGAGTGAGTTATGAAGTGCTTCAGTTGCTTTCTGGAATTTTGACATATAGCACCCATAACACTCATTGTTGCTGTTTTACTTTGCTTGTGGATAACCTTTGTCTGTCCCTGACACGCGACACATGATAACCTAATCTTTTTTTTTTTGCCTTCTTCTGTATTTTGGGAAACTTTGTGTCTGTTTGCTTGTACATGACAGCCATGGGTAATATTTTCAGCTTTTAAATACATCGCTATCTATGTGTACTGGAATGGTGGCATGGGCAACCTTCCCCGCTCGTTATTAGTGTGTTCACACACAATGAGATTCTTCTCCACGGGTGGTGAAAACAAGATCACATTCAGGACAAGGAACCTAAGGCCAGGTGTCTAGCCAGGACAGGCGTGCAGGAGGGGACCATAAGCCTGTTCGTTTGCTCGTAAACGATCGTAAATTTCCAGCCGGGAACAGTGTTTTTCTCTCACACCAAACCAGCCAGCAGTAAATAATCCACGATACGATACGGCCTCCCGAACAGGCTGCATGAAGTTAGGATGTTTGATAGCAGAGGAGGAAGCTGAGGGGGGGGGGGGGGTTGAACTGGGAGAATCAGCGGTAGAAGCTGAGGGTAGTGCGAATGAGGAGGGTCAGGTCGTCCGACGAAAATGCGCAAGAAGCACTGGTGGGAGGACATGGAGCTGGCTCTCTGTTTTAATTTGGTTTGCTTGCAGGAGGTGAATTTCAGGAGACCCAGCAGTGAGAGGGATGGGCTCAACAGAGTGGCGATCTCACCTGTTTTGGACAGTGGTGCCTTGTGGTTTGATCAGATTGGCCATGAGCAGTGGACTGAAGATTTGGTTTGTTAATGGGGTGGTCGGTGGAAATTTGAGGTCTTGCTACTATCAAAATGGGCATTGTCATTTCATCATTTTCTTCAGATAGTATACATTGAAATGCCATCCCTATGTTGCCAATTTGTTAAAAATTTGCCAGATTTGGACATCTTTTTGTCGAACAAAGCTGGGACACTTTTAGACATGTATTACCCTTATTATATCTCCTCTCATCTTCTTTCTCCTTGGCCTCCATATCCAGCCATCATTCTTTGAAAGCCATCGCCATTGCAGGACTTCCAAAGCCATCCTCACTTGATTCAGCCGTCCATCTGTTTTGCTCCAAGGCTTAATGTTGTCAATTGTCATTCCTTCGTGGTTATACCTCCAATGGCGAGGTCATCTGATGAGGACATCGCTCCTTCGAATACACCCGCTGATCCTTTAGCCACTATGCAAGGTATAATGACCCCAACTCGAATGGGATAATTAAATCTAGAGGTGAGCTCGTCCTTAAGTGATCATTTTCATAGTTTTGAGAATAGATTGCTACCTAACGATGTTATTTCGCTTAGGAGCATTGGAGAGGGTCATGAAGTACATGGAGAGAGGCGTGGAGGCGGAGAAGACCAGCAAGGACGTCTAAGACAAGCCGGAGGTCCAGTCCAACTCGAGTTCGAGTCTGCCTCGGCCTTCATGACCAACCTGCGGTAAACGGACACCCAGGACACATATGGACTCAGTTTTCGACGATCCACATCTGTATGAAAAGATAATTTCATAAACTAACCAATGACTTTAGTTTGACGTCCAAATTCCACTGGAGTAAATGGGAATCATCAAAACAAGTCAGCTTCCAGAATGTGCTAGGATGCTGCGTCACCGTATTTTGGTCCATTGAGCTGTGTATCACCTTAGAGCCCGTTAGGGAACGTGTCTTGGCAAGGTCCACCAAATTTATGAGGAGACGTGGTGCTAAAGTTGTAGAGTTCGAGTCTTTTGATATAAAGTCGGATTGGTGTGATAGTCCCTACCAAAACGATACTAGTTAGTATCACCTGACGGAAGATCAGGAATCCCGTCTCCGTCACCATTGGTCTGCCCACTGGGCAAGGCAAAAGCTGTTGATGCCTTTCATCGTGGTGTTCCTTGAACATGATTTGATAGAGCCGAGTTCATGAGACTAATTGGGACTTCTAGCCTCCTAGGCCGGAGGGACTGCATCAGGATTAGGATGCAAGAGTGGTGTGGTTGTGAAGAAGAGGAATAGATTGGCCAGAGAAGAAGAGGTTTGACCTGGTATATATTGATTAGTGCTAATTTAAGTCTGGTTTGCATCAATTAGGTTAGTATTAGCCTAAAGTTGAGTCAAACAAACCATCCATTCTTGTTACTCTTGTCGTGCGTGGATGGCTCGATGATATTAAGGGGTGTCTGCTTTCCAAGATGAGGTGGTGCATCATGAATAGATAAGGTGTTGCATGATGAATTCATCTTGTAGAGTTTGGTGGACTAACTTTATTTCACGTACTTATGCTAATTCAGACATGAGGTGAGAATGGATGAGCCTGTTCTATTCTTAATCCAATCAAAAAAAATTGAAGAATGAGAACACATGATGGACCATCTGTTATCAAACCAGCCCCCTCTTTATCTTGGGGGACCCTTTTTAGCCCAACTTAAGAAACGGACATTTTATAAACATGACTATTTTTGTGCTGAGCTGCGAGTCGGTGGCAGCGATTATGCACAAGCGCCTCCTCGTATTGCGCCATGGCCAACGCCTGTCGTCGGCTACTGGCTGCGCCGCTTGATGATCAGGTTAGCATAATGGTGATCCTCAAATTGAGCATGCTCGGCTACGCCGTGACCCGGTGACCAATGTTTGCAATCTCCCTCCGCCCCTCGTTCAAATCTGACATGTTCTGACATGTATACCTTTCATGTCGTGCTGATGAATCTCCTACCTAGCAGTGATAAAAAAAAAAAGAATCACCTACCTAGCAGGTGCATCGGGGCCCGGGGGCGTCATCTTGGGGTCCTAGGGCGGCGTTGACGTCACTGACTGGGTCTGCTGTGGGCGGCTAATGGCTGGGTACACAACTGAGAGAAATTCATCATCAGACTATTAGAGTAGTTTGGAAATTGCTGGAGGCAGATAATAAACAGCTCTGTAACATCCGGTGGCTATAATTTGAGGCTGTAGTTTTGATTTGGGAATTGAGTGGAGAAAGCATCATTCATTTGCAAAGCAGACTGTCACGATTCCAACACAAATTTCACTCCAGAACTCTCTCCATGGTATTACGGTATGAATTGGAGGGTTTAATGACAAAATCTCTCTGAGGGTCAGGCATAACAAGATCGGGCATTTCCCACGTTCAGTATGCTGACTGTAAGATTGGTGTATAATGCGTGGATATATTGCTTGAGCCCCTTGGACTGATTATATAGGAGTACATGGCTTGGAGGGTAAGTAGCCTCTCCTAGAGATAAGGAAGGTTATCCCAGGATTACAATCAATCCTAAACTAACCATATCCGGAGTTGCCTAATATACTCTAACATCCCCCTGCAGTCACAACGGGAGTGCGCAGACGATGAGACTCGAGAATAAGCCGAAGAGATAACATTCCCCCGCAGTCGCAACCGTCGATGTGCCGCAGATATGTTGTGGCTGGAATGGGAGCCGAAGAGGCTTGTCAAGCAGATGGTAGCCCCTTAGTGCCGAAGTAGCCGAGGTCGAGGTGGACGTGATCGAAGTCGTGGAGGAGGGCGCGGGTCCGAAGCGTCAGCGAAGGCGCCCGAATGCACAAAATCAGCAGCTTCTTGCCGACAGGGTCAGCAGGACGATAGGCCGACTGCGATGGTAGATGGTGCAACTAAAGAGCGCAACTACATCTTCCTTCAACAATATCGGCGGCGGTGTCCGCGA